TTTCAATTACCTAACTTTTTGGCAACCACAAAACCTGTGAAGTGCTGTACAGTAACAAGTGTTGACATTATCAGTTGAACTGTAAATATAAAATGCTTCTTCCAGTTAGTCTCTATAATGATTAAGTTTCTAAAATTTATCTAAACACCATACAGAAACTTGTTTTGGGGAATTTGATAGTTATTGATGTACATCTGTTTAAACTGATGACAGACATAACTCATCATTCCCCAGAAACCTTTTTTGATTACAGTATCTAACATTTTGCCTCCTCTTTTTTGGTTTTGCTGGTTATAAAGGTTTGGATTGGAGAGGGCTCACTGGATCCCAATCCTTGGAGCTGGATCATTGGATTCAAATCATAATGTGGATAGGATAGGGAGGATGAATTACAAGGATTCATGGAGCGGGATCAGATTACCAGGAACATAGGAGTGGATTCCTGCCCCAACCAAACCGCATTCGTGTGGATTTTTTTCATTCATCTTAATTGGCTATTCCAAAGAATTTTTTTTTTCCTATTTTTGACGATTGGAGCCCTTAAGATGCACGATGGAATTGTATTTTGCATTTTTTGGTAAAAGGAGCAAAGCGAGGACCTGGAGATATACGCTGGAGCAATCTCCTTGGAAGGATTCAGCACGAGTAGATGGTAAACATTTAAAGGGGAAAAGGGGGGGTTTGTTTAAAATAGTAAATCAGTAAGTCACTTCTAAATTTAAAGAAAACAAAATTGGAGTTGAAGAATAAGTAGGTTTCCAATTGGCTATTGCCGTTTTTCTTTGAAAAAAAAATAAACATTTTTTAAAAAACTATGCATGGTTGTCCTTTTTCCTCTTCATGTAAGATTTTAACTGGATTAAAAACTAGTGTTATCAGTTACTGTAAGTTGATAAAATTCTGACTCTTGTTTATGTGTTAGTAAATTAAAGGTATTTGACAGGCAATCTAATAAATCATGTTAACTGTCTCTTATTGTGTGGAAGTCTTAAGGGGATAATAAAGTGAGTATAAGGGCAGTTACATATCTAGTATGACAATTGTAGGGGTGATAGTCTGGAAATTAAGCTTCCATATTTTGCTACAGTGTGATACAGATTTATTTTGGTGATACTAGCTTGGAGGTAGCTGTTGATGGTCAGTGAAGGTTTCAAAAATTCAGTATTAACTTTAGCAAAGAGGTATTAGAATGTAACATCCTTTTTTTGTAAGTGGACCAACCAGTATTTTGGAAGGTTAGCTACTTGAATCTACCTTGTAAAGCAGTAATTATATCCTGTAGTCTTATGGTACATCTCTGCTGATAGACCCTTGAAGCTAAATTTGCATATTGCTTGGCTTGGGGAACAGGAGTTTTATTTAAAATCCTAATCTTGTGATTTCCTCTTAGCTAGTTAGAATGAACAAACTGCTGTTCTGTATCCCAGTAGAAATAATGAGATCTTTAAGCCTTTCCCTTGGGTGCTCATCATAGTTGCAAGCTAATTTAAAGTGATTATTCAGATGATATAATTTAAGATGTAGGGGAGACTGGGAATCTTGATAATGAAGAACCAGGCTCCAGGATTGTGTACAGCCATTCAACCTGTATATTTTAATGAACCTATAGAACATCCAGGTAGAGGAGAGACTTAAATTCGAAAACAGAATGTCACTTTAAATGGGTAAAGCGTTTTGGTATAATTTTATTAAAGTAGCCATGCAGTTATGGAAGAATTAAAATATAAGGCAGAAAAGTCTGCCTTTGAAAACAGTTGTAAAAAATTAAAAGCATGACATGCTTCAAGGTTTCATTTAGACCTGTCCAGAGAAATTAATCAAGTGGCAGGGTCCCCACCCCCACAACCTTGTTCTGGTTCAGATTTTTCCTAGAATTTACATACCTTGGGCTAGCCTTAAACTCAAAGCAATCCTGCCTCAGTCTCCTGGGTGCTGGGATTGCAGACAGGACCCACCATGTCCAGCTTATGGTTAAGTTTTATAATTAAGATGCGAGCTGGGGGTGGTGGTGCATACCTTTAATCCTAGCGCTCGGAAGGCAGAGGCAGGTGGATCTCTTGAGTTCCAAGGCCAGCTGGGTCTACAAGGAGACCAAGAAAAAAAAAACTGAAAGCTTGAGATGGGACTGGTTTTTAGTCTTAAGAAATGGACCTATACCTACAATGGCAGTTAGGTAGAATTAACACCGGTTCAGAAATATAAATGTTACCTTGATTTTACTCCCGTTCTCTGTTCCCTTAGGATATTGTAGGGCACTTACTAGTTTATTTTCTAACCAAGAAAGCATTTAAAGTCTCTTTAAGCAAGTACTTTTCATAACATCTGATTGAATAACCTACCTTGCTGTTCAGCTCACCTCCTACTGGAGACAAAGGTAAGAAATACATTTTTGATACCTAGTTGTGTGGGATCTGAATTTCAATAACTAAAGTTTGGAATGTGAATAATTTCTCACTTGGAATTTTTTTTCTAAGCGTTAGATTTTTAATAATTTCTGTTTATAAATTCACCCATTTTAATGCCTGGAGTTTAATACGATTCTAAAATCGATTTTCTTGGTTTTGTGTAAGAACCAATATCTTTGTTTTTTTAGGGTTGGTGCTATTTTCAGCTTTCTGTGGTCAAGGTGAATTTCTAATGTTTGCCTTTTCTTTGTGTATGAAATTTAAAATAAAATATATGTAAATAGCATTAAAAGAAAATATTTAGACTGAGTTCTAACAACCACTTGTGGCTTTTTTCCATCATCATAAATTCGACAGTTATGAAATCTTAGAAAACCCTGAATACCAGAGATTGTTTTGTTGAGCCACTTAACTGTAAAAGCTGGCCAGAACTGATGGCTTCATTTTGTACTTACTGTGACTAACTAGTTTTCCTATATAGTAGTGAGCCTTACACAGTTGGCTTAGACTTTGCTGAGGATCATACATAAGGTAGTACAAACATATGACTCATACATCTATGAAGAGTTTGGGCAAGGAGTTGTAAAATTATGTAATGGTACCACAGAGGTTTAATGTGTTGGTTTTGGTGTGAATAAAAAACAAGCTTGTTACTTTGGAACCTTTATTGAGATTTAAGGTCTCTTTTTAGACCCAAGTAGGAACTAGAAGAAAAGGTATCACCCACATACTAACTGTAGTCTGCCACTATATAGCACACACTGCAGCAATTATACTCTATTGAAGGAAATAATCAACCAAAGAGTTTACAGTATAATACTCTTGAAGCAGTTTTGATTTCTGTACTTGAGAAACCTTGCCCAAACTGATCCTGTGAGAAAGATTAGGATTGGAATGAAATAGTAGAAAAAGTTTTATGCTTGACAGCCCTTGAAGGCAATTGTGTTACAGAATTGAGGGGGATTTTTTTCCTTGTTACAAAAAAAAAAAAACACTTGCTGAATCCCAGGACTCAGGAAGAGATAGAGGCAGGCAGATCTGAATTTGAGGCTAGTCTGGTTGCATAGTGGGTTTTATGTATCAAAAACAATGACAATAAATAAAAATCACTTGGTTCATAGGACACAGAAAATAGGTTGAATAGCTGTCCTATGGTTAATTCCAGAAATCTACTTCAGGGGCAGAAGTAGCATCACAACATGTTTGGGGGGCTTTTTTGTTATGCTGAGGATCTGAACCCATGTTGCAGTTTGTATCACTGAGCTACATTGCCAATCCTGCTTAAATTTTTTATCCTGTCAAGCTAGGTTATCCAGGAAAGAGGTTATACACCCCCTTTTTGAGAGGTTCCCATTTAGGCAACTACAAGAGTTATAAAACGAGCTTAGCTGAGTGCTACTATATATTGCCATTTTTCACTTTTTCAAAAACTACAATGGAGAAAAAACATTAAAGAGACTCCTTGTCACTTTAAAATGTCTAAGTGTCTGTAAGCTGTTGAGTAATAGCAACATGAGGTACTGCAGATTGAGAGACATCCCTCAAGGACACAACAGTCATCTTCACAGACACTTTAAACAAAAGGATTACTTTGGAAGGGGCACCAGATTATCAGTTTTCTACAGTATTCTCCATTGGAGTAAATGGTAAGGAAAATTTAGCCACAAGAGGGCACTATGACAACCAGGAAATTTGCTTTGCTACACAGCAAATCAAGGTGGAGACCTTGATCCACTGTATTATCCCTGTTGGATGGTTCCCGTAAGTTTTTCTTCCTATAATCACCTTTTTCCATATGTTGAGCAGTGTCCTTTCTCTTACAGCTTCTGGATCCATGTAGGTTTTGAATAGTGATTTATCCTTAAGAGGTGAAAATTAGGGGGAAAAAAATTTCTGGGCTTTTGAAGACATGCCGTGACATGACCGCTGGTTGTTTTTTGCCTATTTTGTCATCTTTATGTAGTAAAAACACATGTAAGGTTTAGATGCAGAAGTAGATGTTCTACAAGACCTAAAAATCATCCTAACATGAGGGAGTGAGTCCTGTTAACTCTGGGTGGTTTTTTTGTCTTTGGTTTTTTTTTTTTTTTTTTTTTGGTTTTTTGAGAGAGGGTCGCTAAGTAGACCAGACTGGCCTTGAACTTCCAGAGATCTGCCTGCCTCTGCCTCCCAAGTGCTGGGATTAAAGAGGTGCACCACCATGATCAGTTTTGCTGTGTTAAGGTAATACAGTTCACAGCCAGAGAATGAAAGTTTGTCATTACCATTATCCTTTACCTCTGAGTTTATACAAAAAAAAAGGGGGGGGGGAGGGATTATAACACCCAAGGCAGAGGTAGGCATACCATCTCTGGGTTTGAGGCTGACTCTGGTCTACATAGCAAGTTCCAGGACCTACATAGATTGTCACCAAAGAAGCTAGGAGAAAGAACACAAATTTGCCTCCTTTTTAAGTAAAAATACTGCATTTACATTTTTAGGCTCACCTGATGCAAACTAGCCATCAAGAAAATGGTTGTAGGAACACTGATGCTAAAATGGTATTAGGAACTTGTCTTGAAAAATAAGACATTAAAAATGGACCAAGTATGTTTTTGCAGGTAAGCAGACATTGATCAAGTTTATACTAGCTATGGTATTCCCTTCCTGTTAAGTTGTTCTGGAGGCTACAGAGGGTAGTGGCTGACTAATAGCTTTTTTGTAAATCTTGTTTGATCCTATTTTAATTGGGTTACCCTTAAGCTATGCATTATGACACACACCTGTAGTCAACGTTTGGTGAAGGCCCTGGCCAGAAGATTGCCAGTTCAAGGCTAGCTTGGTCTACAGTGAGACCTGTCTCAAAAGTTTGGTAGCCTTTTACTAATTTAAGGTGTGAAAGAGGCACTCTGAATCCACAACTGCAAGTCCAGAATTTCCTTTGTGGTGACTATTTTGGGAAACCCATACCTAGGCTGAAAATGCTTCCCTTTAATAGTAGCATGCCCAGACATTTTAGAGTAGTAAAAGAACGCAGTCCACATTTTAAGACAGAAATGTAAAGTGTTAGAGTAAGCAGACTGGAAAGATGAAAACCAAAATGGCTCCTTCGTTCTCTGAAGCCTGTAAGAAGTAAATTGCAGCAAGGTAGTAAATACTCAAGTTCTGACCTTGGCTGTAGTTCCACCCCACTGAGACAGGATCTCACTCTGGCTGGCCTTGAACTAGAAATCACCAAGTGCTAGGATTATGGGCATTTGCCAACACAGCTGTTTATCCAAGTGAGAGTATTTAGGAATTTGTTGGTTGAATTTGTCTCACATCCTTGACAGTCAAAGCATTTTTGTCTGTGTACCCAAATCTGTTACTGGAGGTTCTCCCTGGTTTCAGTGACTAAAGCCTTCATCCTGGCTATCGAATCTGTACTTCCT